GGGCGACTCTGTGGAGAGGGCTGGGAAGAAGCTGGCTCCCTCGGTTCTCACCTGGTGGCCGTCAGTCTCACGAGGACCTGGCTCGAGAGGGCAGAGCAGCTGAACTCAAACTCCAGCAGGAAGGTCACCTGGAGGCCAGAGACAGGGTGAGGGTTGGGTATCAGGAGTGATGCCCCAAGGACTGCGAGGGAACAGGAACAGGAGTTTCGTGCCCCAGCCCCGCTTCTCCCAGAGCCCCCTTCTCATCCGGGATGCCAGCTCACCTTGGCCCCGGTCTGGAAGACAGGCTGCCCCACGCTGCAAAGCCGGGCATGGGAGGAAGGGGCAGCACACTCCACCTTCACCGAACTGTCCATCTGAGGTCACAGGAGACGGCTGAAGGTGGGAGCTGCGCCTGCACCGATCAGCCGGCCCCTCTCCAAGCCTTGGTGTTCTCCCGAGGACCCTGACCCCCAGTCCGCTCCTTTCTCCCCTCCCCCCAAGCCCCTCCCCCAAGGGCACCTGAGGAGCCAGGCTGGCCAGGTGGAGATTTCTGGAGAAACTGAGGCTCAGGCTCGTGTTGTAGGCGTTTTCCTGCCGGTTCTCCAGAGTTGCTGATACGAGCACTTTCCGGCGGCCACCTCGGACCACAAAGGGGGCCTTCCTAGGAGAAGTGGAGAAGGGAGAGGCCAGGAGTTGGAGGGGTGCCCAAAGCTTCCTTCCATTACTGTGGGTGGGAGTCAGTCCCCTGGCCCCCTTCCAGTCCCTTTTGGTCTGTCTCAGGTCCCCCTGGCCTGGCCAGTTCATGCCCATCACACCTGGAGCCTCGGATGTCCATGCTGGCTTGAAGCACCAGGTCTGTGACACACTCATTGTCAGGGCCACAGTCCTTCGAGAAGGGGACCTGCAGGAGCGGGGGCCGGGGTGGGGCAAAGGCTCAGAGGAGACAAAGGAGGAAGGAGTGGAACAGGAAGAAACGTGGAGGGAGAGGGTGGGTCCACTTCAGGGACAGGGATCCCGGGTCAGGTGTCACTGTGGGTTCCATCTCTTCCCTCCCCGTTCTCTGGAATCCCTGGGAGCGGGGAGAGAGGGCTGGGGCCCTGGGGTGGGACAAGACTCGGCACCGCTGACCAGCTTTTGGATGGAAGTGGGCGAGCCCTCGTCCAGCACAGGCCCTTGCTTTGTGGTGTTGTCCAAGGCAAAGGTCACCGTTAAAGCCACTGGCCGGAGGTAATCTGATGCATCCTGAGAGAAACCGGAGTCAAGGGTCGGGGGAGCCGGGTTCAGGGCTACACCCCAAGCTCCCGGCAGGGAGTGACAACCCCAACCCCAACCCCACTGCCGCTGAGGCGGTTCCTACGGACAGAGCGGAACTGCTCCCCAGGGTTTCCGAAGCGAGGGTCTTCATGGAAGCACTGTCTCGTCTTTCTCCCAGCTGCTGGCTGGTGGGTTTGACTCCCCGACCCTCCAGTTAGCAGCACGATGCTAACCCACGGTGCTGTCAGGACTCCTTGTGATAACTATACCCACTGTGACCAAGCTGACTCCCACTCACAGCCACCCGTCCTCTGCGGAGCAGCCGGCAGCTTTGAACTGCTGACCTTGCTGTTAGCAGTCCCATCGCCTAGTCTGCAGTGCCACCAGGGCAATAACGATAAACAAAGAGCCAAACTCAGTATCATCAAGTCCTTTTTGACCCTATAGGACAGAGAAAAACTGGCCCTGTGGGTTTCTGAGACTGTAACTCCTGATGGGAGCAGAGAGCCTCATCTTTCTGCCACCAAGTGGCTGGTGGCTTTGAGCTGCTGTCTTGTGCAACGCATAAGCCATTATCCCACGGGGATCCTCCGGGCAAGAACATGAAGTGATCATTTATTGAGCACTTTCTGGGCTCTGTCCCTATTAAATGCACTTCTAATACAACTCCTATGAGCTTGTTATTGCCATGACCCGCCTTTGCAGAGGAGGAAATGGGTTTGAAGGTTATGTGGCTTTGCCAGAGCTCATAGCAGATCCACGGCAGAGCTAGGAATCAAACCCGAGTCAGACCAGCCTGACTCTGAAGTCTGACCTTGCTCTGGCATTTTTCCTGGTACAAGCTCCCCCGCCACCCCAGCTGCTCTGCTGCAGCCCGGACCGTAGAGCAAAGCAGCATGGGGCCCTTCTCACCAGTACATGGAAGTGCAGCTGCTCACAAGTGACATTCCCCACACGGATCCAGAGCCGCCGAGGGGCCAGCCTCTGGCCAGAGCCATCGAAGGCTGCGCGTGCCCCGGCTGTCCACTCGTCCAGGGATGCCGTGAACCGCACATCTAAATGGGGAGGTAAAGTGACGGTGGAGAGGGGCCCAGCGTCTGAAGCAGGCAGGGAGTTGAACGCTGGCTGGGCTGCCCCCACGGTCACTCACGGAATTGTTGAGGCCAGCGGCCTGGAGTGCGCGAGGTGGCTTGGAAGCAGAGGGCTGCAGTCAGGCAGGCTGCCTCCTGGCCTCGTCGCCTGCAGTCCCGTTGAACCACGCTGACCACTGGGGGGGTCACTGTCAGCGAAGGGGCCAGGCGGACAATAGGCCGGGAGCTGGGGGGCGGAAGTGGGAACGACATTGCTAGCAGTAGAAGGTGAGCCTCCTTGAGAAGGAAACCCCGTACTTGGCTTTATGCAGTCAGAAGAAAGACCAAGGCAGTCCCCACTTTAACCTCTGGCTTAGGGGCTAGGTGCACACATGCCACCTCCCTGTCAAACACAAGGGCACACACGTCTCAGAAGCACCTAACCAATGCACCGCAGAAGCAGGCACCACCTGTCTGTCAGCGGAGGCGTGGGTGCGGTTAACGTGTGGAATAGGTCTCAGTGGAGCTGCCCAACTCCGGCAGAACAGAAGAAAGGCCTGGCGATCTAGCTCTGAAAAATCAGTCCATGAAAACCCTACGAATCGCCTGCCTTACTCAATGGGAACATCATCTAGGGTAAGTTTTCTCATCTCCTTCTCAGGATACCAACACGTTCAGTACTTGACTGTGCAGAGATTAAACTCGGAATCATACTTCATACAAATGCCAAACAACAATAACAACAGCCAAAAAATTTTTCAAAGAATCTCAGATTTTAAAACGACACTCTTTTCCCCC